CCGACGTTTCAGATATTGCTCTCCTGTAACCACTGCTGCACTGCAAACATCTTCTGTGCCAAATCTGGACACCAAGATGCCTCATAAACAAAGTTCACAGGTTTTTTTTTTTTGATTATCAGGTTTTAAGGGGGTTGTTGGGACCAGCTAGAGCTGTGCTGGGATTCTGCAGGAACTGGGAGGATGGGGGATCAGGGCGCGTTTGTATTTGCTTGTTCCTGCCCACTGTTGAAAGTGCATCAACAATTCCTTCCCGGCAGCAAAATAAGACAGGAGCTGGTACTTTTAAGGTAATTCTGGCATCCGTGCTATGAATAGATCGCACAGAAATGCGTCCTCGCTGGTTGGTTCCCTGCAGCTGTAGAGGAACCCATGAAAAACCCCGGTACGGGGACAGGCACAAGGCAGCCCTCGGTGATGCCGCCACCCTCAGTGGCACTGGCCAGTGGTGGTTCATCCAAAACCACTTCTTGGCTCAGGTGAGAGGGTGCAGCCCCTTCCCAGACAGGCAGGTGCCCCCTGGCATCATACAATCATAGAATCATCAAAAAGTTTGGGTCGGAAGGGACCTCAAAGATCCTCTAGTTCCAACCCCCCTGCCACGGGCAGGGACACCCTCCACTACACCAGGTTGCTCAAAGCCTTATCCAGCCTGGCCTTGAACACTTCCAGGGATGGAGCATCTCCCCAAGCAGCTCTTGACACTGGCAAGGGGCCTGTTTTTGCACAATATTTCAAGTTTTTCACCTCCTCAACCACCTCAAACCCGTTTGGTCGGTAGCTGCTGGTGCACCCACTGAGCAAGCGGCCGGAGGTGTCACCAGTGCCACTGCAGAGCTGGGGAAAACGGGGCATGGAGCCACCTCGGCTCCTGCCCAGGCAGGACAGGCTGCGAGAGAGCCCACGCCAGCAGCTCCCACCGCACCGCTTCCCTCTCCCCATCACTTCCAAAAGCACAAAAATCTGCCAGCCCAGGCCAAGAAAACCCACTTGCCTACTCACCCGGTGCTAACAATGAAAACACTAATTATATTTCACTCACCTATCAAAGGGATGATTCATTTAGGTGAGTGGGCACGGAGAATTACACAAGATGAACACGGCGATGCGACCGCCCATCTGTTTTGGGATAGCCCTCTCGAGAAACGAGCCTGCGTGGAGCACGTGGGCACCCGGGATGGGGTGAGGGGGTGGCAGCAGGAGGGACCCAGCATAGCCCCGATGCTCTGCGGGCATCCTGAGTCCAGGGAAGTGCTGTGAGCCATTCCCTGAGGGCTGGCTGGGCAGTGGGGACCTGCTAGAAGGGCTGGTCCCCTCCCCAAGCCCCTGTCTGGTCTCAGATCCCAAATGTTCAGCTGGGGAGAGGTGGAAGGAGGAGAACAGCTTCGGCAGGGACAGAAAGGGCAAAAGCAGATTTGGAGCTTCCTTCATCCACCCCCACGACCATGGTTTCAGCAGCTAAAGCCAAAGCCAATGCCCAACCCCGGGATTTCCACGGCGAGGTGGCAGTTACAACTCAAACCATCCTCAGGGCAGAATCACTGAGTGTTTCCAAAGTGTCCGAGGAGCTGCAGAAAGGCAGGAACCAGCTAAGGTGTCTCCTGATCTCCAGACCTGCTGAGGACTGGGTCTCCAGCGGGAAGAGGTCTCCAACCCTCTGCTCCAGAGAGATTCCACCAGCTCCAGCAAGGGCGACAGCAGCGGCCCCGGCTCACCTGGGTGCTGATCCAGGTGGATTCAGCCCCTTTCATCTCAAGCAAGGGTGCAATCCTGCTCCGGAGCTGGAGCCAGGCTGAATCAGGCCCAGCAAACGACTGGTGCAACTCCGGCGTCGGAGCGGAGCGATCCTCAGCATCCTGGTTTATGTAATATCAGGGTGCTTCTGGATGGGGGCAGGAATTTTTGGCAGAAGGATAAGGACACATCAGCAGTATCATGGTTTGGGGTGGGGGAAAGACAAGGACGCACGTGCCGCAGGTGCAGGAACGTGGGTCGGGCGCGCGGCGATGCCAGGGAGGTTTGGCAAAGCGCGGGCTCCGAGGGGAACAGCGGGGTTCTGTTTGCTTATTTGGGCCCCGTGCCAACGGGCACGTAACCGCACAGCTCGGGGGAACGCGGTCTGTGCCCATCCGGTGCACGCACGGGTCGGAGAGCGCCAGCGCCGGGCCAGGGGTAGACCGCGTGCCCGTGGGTACGGGAGCGGAGGGGCGAAGCGGCGTCTCGGCCCCGGGGAGGAGAGGCGTGTGTGCATGGCGATGAGCGTGTCCGCGTGGGAGGTGTGAGATCTGCAAGCTGCGTGTGGGGGAAGCGTGCGCGCGTGGCGGGCGTGAGCGCCCGGCGTTGGCGGGGGGGGCGGGACCCGCCGGGATGGTGAAGGGGGTGGCAACGTGGCTCGGGCCACCACGTGCCATACCCTACGGCCGAGCCCGACGCACCGACACGTGCGCGTCGCTCACGCCAAATATCGCTCCCCGAGGTCGCGCCATCTCCCGGGTGTGGAGATTCGCCCTTACCCGCTCTCGTGCAAGGAAATGGTAAAACTGGGAGTGAAACCCCATGAATTGTGGGGCACCTCGCTTCCTGAGCTCGGCTGCGCATTTAGGGACCCATCCCCTCGCCTTGGTTGATGTGCTAAAAAAAAATAAATGCAAGGGCTGAATATTTATCTGTGGGTGGCAAGTGACAGATGCTGGGGCGAGGATTCCAGGATCCTTCAGTTTGATGAAGGTAATAACTTGAATAGATTAATGAGAAACATCCTTCCCAACAGCCATAGCTGCACAGCCACCCTTCCAGCAGAGCTCCTGCACGCACCAGCTCCTTGGACCCAAACGCGCAAAGTTCATCAAGGTTTGGTGGCCAGAAGGCTGGAGATGCCCAACTTTTGGTGTTTTCCACTCAGAATAGAGACAGGCAACTGGGAAAGGGCTGTGGCCTCTGGGTACTCGCAACTGAGTTGGTGAAAGTGCAATCTCAGGTGGGTTCAGTCACTCCGTGGTGACCACCCAACCGCAACGGGGGTGTGGAGGAGCCCAGTCGGGGCGTGTATCCCGGCATCAGGGTGGGCTTGGCCACAGGTACCACCACTTTGCATCTCCCAGGCACGGCCGCCCCTTCTAGGGCAGTTTGTGGAGTCCCTGGGGGGGAGAATGTTTTGCTACAGACCCTGCCTGCGTCTCCTCCTGATCCTCTCACCTCCTCCTAAAACGATAAACATGCCATAAAGCTTTTCAGCCCCCAACCACCAAGAAGCTGGGCTGGCCTGACAAGATGGAAGAAAAAGCGCTTTGCTTCTGGTAGGTTCTCAGAAAAATGATGAAACTGCTGGTAAACCACCCCTATTCGGAGACGCTCCCCGGGTTTCCCGAAGAGCCACGGTGCTGCAGTCGACGGGGAGCGTGGCAGGG